ATATATATATATATAAAATTCTGACTTAGTCACAAATAACAATATAATGTTGGTGGGTGTAAAATAAAAAGAATAATTGAACATACTGACACCAGAAAAGACAATAAAATAGGCAATCGCATAAAACACGACACAGAAGGCAGTACGCAACAAGTAAGAATTAAAGTAAAACAAAATATGGACGAACAGCAGTAAGAGAACTGAAATCTGATTTTTGAACGACTGAAAAAATTACATCCTAATATTGTGTTAAGATCACATTATGAGAACTATGTTAGATCCACATGTAAGGCGAGACTTCCCAACTGTGGAGGATTTGCGATATAATAAAGCCATTTAGTGACATTTTCCCAGCTGTTTGAATTATGTCACATTTAAGGAAGTTGCATGTGCGCAGAGTAAAAATCCCTTCAGTTGCATCATGAATTATGCAGAAAATTCAGGGTGTTTTTCCTCCAAATATAACATAATTAACAGCACTTTCACTGTCAATTAAATATTTTGTTACCTAAACCTCTGTCGTGTGTGACCCAACAAATTGGCAAATGCTGATAACATGCAAACGATATTGTTGTGCATTTTATTCCTCCGCAGTCTCAGAAAACAAAATTGAGAGTTGCGCATGCATTTTCGTCTTTATATAAAAAACAAACATTTATATCATTATTCTACTTTTCCTCATTTTATTTTGTATTCTGTGATATCTGATATGATCGGAGTGATTACAGAGCAGCACATCCAGTTTACCTTCCAGACTTGGTGATGATCATTTCAGTGCCGAGCTCGTGGAATTTGTCCCACAGCTCTTTGGTCTCCAGGCTGCACGAGATTTTGGCCATCTCTTCGCTGGGGATGCCGGGATTGGTGGGGATGAGGGGCTCCGTGCACACCGCGGGCGCGCTCCCGCTGAAGTCCCCGTGCCCGTCCAGGGATGACAGGTCAGCCAGAGCCTGCTGGTTGCAGGAGGATTTCTCCACAAATTGCTCTGGTTTTATCAGAAACGTGGATGCGTAAACATGAAAAAGAAATGGAGAGTAACCGTGAGGATCGTCCTGATGTTATTTTAAAATTATTTAGTAAGAAAAAGAGATACAAACCATTCTAAAATTATAAAAGCATCAATAATACGAATTTCTAAACTTAAATATACTCCAAAAATAAAACCGTGCACAATCTACAGAATTAAAACAAATAAACAAACAGAAAAAAACAAATCCGTCATGTAATTTACGTTTTATATTTTAGAATATATCACAGTTCGAACAGAAATCGGAAAAACAATCATATAAATGTATATTATATTATATTATATTATATTATATTATATTACATTATATTATATTATATTATATTATATTATATTATATTATATTATATTATATTATATTATATTATATTATCATTTATAATAAGTAAGTCCACTAAGAACAACAAATAAATAAATGAACAAAAACCGGATTTCTGTGAAAACTACACATCACTTTTAGGAAAAAATATCCCTATTTACACATTTTCGTCTGCAAAATTCCGAAGACTTCCATTGTCGCACAAAATTATATATTAATGTATTTACGGCCCTTGTATTTTCAGAAAATAAAATTATGATTTTATACTTTCCATCAGTAAATATTGGCGTCTTGAATAAATAGGAGTGCTTAAAAGGAAGTTCATTGTAATCACAGGATTTCGTCACAAAAGAAGAAAATTCAATAAAAGCACTAACTTTTCTCACATTTTGGAGCTTCACTGTACAAAATCTTAAACCGTAATTATTTTCCTCAACAAACTGAAACAAATGTTCAAACAGTAAAGCTGGATTTCTTCCCCTCTCACCCAGAGGTTTGATGGTGTTCTCCTCCGCCTCCTTGTCCTTGCTGGACTTTCCGCTGGACATCAGGGCGGCTATGGAGAAAGCATTGGCCCGGGATGAGAGCTGCGGCTTCGGGGATGACGTGTACTCCATGTCGGTGTGTCAAAAGGCAAAAATATTCTCCTCTGATAAAATAAAAGCAGAAAACCTCCAGAAATACCGGCCGCTTTCGGCTCCAAGCGGCAGAAGGAAGTAAAGATTGAGGGAATTACGCGCGCAGTTTCTCCCAGATTTCAGGACTTTCTTGCGTTCAGAGTTTACAGGCGCAGACAGGTTAACAATCAGCACTCAAAAAGCCAGCAAAAAGGTGTTATTGCTGCCGATGTGGGGGTCGTGCTGGATTCATGGTGAAGGAAGAGCGCACGGCTGACTCCTGGGGGTTGTCAGACCTGAGGCCGGCGGCTCTTTGGGACGCTTCAGTCTGCTCCGGTCCAGCCTCCCCTTATTATTCCAGTCTGCCCTCCAATCGCTGCCTCTGGCTCCACGTCACGCTTTCACTGTCTCACAGCGGCCCTGAAAGCGAGCAGCCAATTAAATCCCCTGCTTCTTCCCGGTTTTTTTTTTTTTTTTTTTTTTTTTTTTCAAGCCAAAGACAGACAGGGAGGCAGAGACAGAGAAGAGAGGGAGATTGTAAGTAATAATGTGAGAATTTTATGACTGCAGGGGCTGATGACAGATTGAAATGACTAATATATGCAGGAAAAATCCTGATGTCTTGCAAAATAAAAGAAAGTTTGTATTAACCTTTTCTTAGATTTTATTTTCTCTTTTAGATATCAAGTCAGACTGTTGAGTGAAAGTTACCAAAGAAGAAACTGAAATTGAATTGTAGAATAAAAATCTCACTCATGTGTTAAATGATTTGAATAATTATGTTATTATTTCTTGTGAACTTTAAAAAATTCAAGGGTACATTTAAGATCATTTGTGCAACTATACTGTCAACATTTTAAATTTATTTGAAAATATTGTGATTTGTTTGATGATTTTAGGTAAATGTTTCAGAAAAAATATTTCTTATCAAACTTTTCATAACAAGATTGTTTTTTGCATGTTTTGCACAAAAATTTAGACTTAGCATAAATAAAAATAAACAATTTAAATATTTTTTGGCAGAAATATGAACAATATGATTTAACCTGCATATTGTTTTCATTATTTTTTTTATATTTATTTTATTAATTATGTACTGCTGTAGTTTCATGCAGCAGTTTACTGTTTGGTTTCCGAAAGGCAAAAGTGTAAAATATTTGACGTTTGTGTCACATCTTTAATGCACAAGAAAATAAAAAAAATATATATCTTAAAGTCGAGAAGTGTAAGTGATGCCTAGAACATTTAAAATACACATTTTAATCAAATAGATCTGTTAGAATAGCTGACAAAAATGTATTTCCAGCTTCCAGCAATGATTCAGGAAAGTCAGCTGTTTCTGGATTTTGAACAAACATGGATCGTTTTTGCAGGTCTTTTCCGGTGAACGCAGCAAGTTCCCCATTAACTCTGATGTTGTCATGGTGTGAGGTAATTTTCTGACCCACATGCAGGAAACCACTCTGGACAAGATAAACAGTTTTGAATAGACCAGCAGGCAGAGGACTCAGGAGTGAAGCTTTGGAGGACACTGAGGTCTCAGATGCTTTGAAAAATCTGAGAAATATTTTCTTGGATCCTTACTTGACCATCAAGCTCCCTTTTGCTTTGTGGTGGTTTAGGAGAATGGAAAGAGGGCGTGGTCTGGACAGGGGGCGTGGTCTGACATCAGGGCGTGGTCCGGGCAACACGCTGCACAGGCCACGCCCCCTGTCCAGACCACGCCCCACAGGTGGACGATCTGCAACTCAAGTAAAGATAAAAACAAACACAGACAGCACACTCACACTCCAAACTATAATAAATAACAACTGAGAAATCTAGTTTGAGCAAAGTTTAGTTTAATTCTGCTAGTAATTAGGTATTTTTGATGAAATGTAGAAAAAAAAATCTAATCTTATTTTTTATTTCCTTGTAGATCATTATTGGAACATTTTATGTTGTGTCCGTGTTGATTGATTCCCATCCAGGTCATTTGAGAAATCAATGGTCTATGAGACTTTCACTCACAGATGAAAACAAAATCCTTGTGTGATCTACTGCTAAACAACATGATTTATTCCCATTCCAGATATTATAAAACTTGCTCTTGCTATTAGTTCATTTGATTCATATAAGCTAACAAAAGCTAATATGAGTCCATTTTTTGAATTGGTTGTATTGTTGCTGGGTTGTAATTTTTGTTTTGTTTTATCAAAACAACTCTCTCTTTTAATAAATAAAGATAAATCTATATTTTTAAAAAAGTGGCCAGATTTTGCGCACACGCCTCCAGAGAGTGCATATAGACTGGTTGGAGGGAGACTGAAAGCCACTGTGTGCTTTGGGCAGGTTGTAAAAAGTTGGGCTGCTTTTCACACAGTTGGCAGGTTTTTGGAAACTTGAGAGGAAAATTACTTTGAATTAGTTGCCATTGTGTGGCAGGCACCAGCAGATTGCGCTCATATTAGTTTATTTATTTTGAAAAGTCTATAATCTGTTAAACGTCACATCATCAATGATTTGTCATCAGTTAATCAAGTGTCACTTTTTAGTAGGGCTGTAAAACAGAAATCTCAGTGCAAAATCATAATTTAAAAAGACAGCACCACAAATCGGATCAATCCAAAATATCTATAATATCGATACCAAGACGATATCAGTATCAGATCAATGTCAGTCTGGTAAGATTGATACTTTAGTTTCAGATTCCCGTTTTGAAATTTGATACTATTTTTGAATTGCAGTTTCTCAACTCTAACTCAAAAAAACTTTTTGTTTAATTTGCTCTCAAATAATATTTCTTGATTACTTTGGGAAGGTGAACTCAAATCTTGTTAATATGTTATTAAAGCATTTTTATAGATATTGATTGACTTTATCCAAATTCTATCTTAGATTTGAACAAAACAATTTAAAGAAAAACCATATGGGTCCTGTATTTACTTAGTATCAGATTGAAAATATGCAGAATCCCTAACATTAACATCTGACCGTCACTCACTTTAGTCACTAATAAAAAACAAACCCAACACAAGATTTTCCCCCTCTGGGAAGCAAAAACATGTAAATGTTTGTCTTGAAACAGTCGATCCAATGCAAGCCGAGATTATTTCCAGGAGCACCTGGCACCTTGTTCCCAAAGCAGTAACCTCTGTGTTGCCTGTTTCTGCGTGTGTCCTCAAAGTCACCTTTACTCCCCTCAGCGAAACGGCGGCTCACACCAGCAGCGAGCCAAAGAGCGGCCAAGCAGCTAAACCTATTAGGGGACTCCTCAATGCAAATCTGCTGGTGCAGATATTTAATAAGAGACCTGCACTGGCAAATGAGATTACCGCGCAATTGGCAGTGGATAATGTGCTAAAAGCTTTCCCACTTAGGCGTCACTCCTTACCGAATATTATTCACACTTTGAGGGGCCAGTGGAGCCTTAAAGAAGCATGGATGGATGGATGGATGGATGGATGGATGGA